GGGTCCTTGGAAGGGCACTGGGCACGCGGTGTGACCCCTACACCTGGGACGCGGGCCCTGCGCCGGGGGAGCTCAGCGCTCAGCCCAGGGACCGCCCCAGAGGGGGGAGGCCCGCGCGGTGTGTCCCCCAGGGACACAAACACAGGCAGAGCCCGCCCGCGGAGTGGTGGGTGGGGAGGGCGGCGCTCCTGCCGGCGCGGTGTGCTTGCGCGGCCCCCACGCACCCCTAGGTCCCCTTGGGCTGGGCCGCAGGGGCCGCAGGCAGGGGCGCTGGCCGGCGCGCACCTGAACTGGGCAGCGTCGCGGCACAGCTCCACGTTGGGCCGGAAGGACCGCTGGTACAGGCGGGTCTGCGCCACCCTCAGCGGCGCCTCCTTGTCCTTGATGGCCTGCTTCAACGCCGCCACGTTGTGCTCCTGCTCCGTGATCTCCCGCAGCGTCTGTACACAGTGAGGGCGGCTGGGGCCTCCGGCTGGCTCCGCGAGGCCTGGACTCCAGGGGGAGGCGCCTGCGTCCTCCCAGGGGGTCCCCACGGGCTGGGGCAGCAGACATGTGTCCGGCCGCTCTGACCCGGAGGCCCCAGTCCTGGCCAAGAATCGCAGGGGCCAGAGGCGCAGGGCGCCGGGGCGCGCCATCCTGGGCCAGGGCAGCCCGTGCCGCGCCTGCCCTCCCGCTCCCACCTGGCCCCCGCGGGTGGGCCACAGTGGCGCCCACCACACCGATTCCTCCTGGTGCCCTTAGCTTAGCCAGGGCCGGGCGGCGGGCAAGGTCTCAGGATGGGCGAGCGGGAGGGGTCGCAGGGAGCCGCGCGGGCCCTAGCGGCGGGCCTGGCTGCGAGGCGGGGGCCGCCTGGGCGGGTGCGCGCGCCCACCTTGTGCAGGTGATGCTCCAGCTTGAGGCGCGAGTCCTCCAGCTCTTCGCAGCGGCGCCCGAGGGCCAGGTTCACGGCGTCACTCTGCAGCCGCAGGTCCTCCGCCGTGTCCCGCAGGATACAGTCGATGAGCGCCCGCAGGTTCACGGACGCCAGGCGCTCGCGCTCCGCGCGGGACAGAATCTCCTGGGTGAACTTAGCCCACGACTCGGGCGTGGAGGCGCTGCGGCAGAGAAGGCCCACCCCACGCTCTGTGCGATGCCAGCCCGCGCCGACCCCCAGGCACCCCCACGCCCCGCGCCCCAGGGTAGTGGCCCAGCGCTCCTGCCTGCTCCGGGCCTTGCGCCCCGCCACCCGGGGCGGCTGGTGAGCAGTAAGGGGGCCGGCCCCGGGGCCTCCTCCTTGAGGGCGTGCACCCCAGGGCGGAGGGCTGGCGGCCCCGCCCCCCAGGCGGGCCCAGGGCGGAGCCGGGCGCTGGCCCGCCCACCTCTCCTCCAGGACAGCCGAGTGCGGGTGGAACCGCGCGTCGGGGCTCTGGTTGTGCAGGCGAGTGCAGGCCTCGTCGATGTTGTAGGCCTCCACCTTGTCCGACCAGTTCATCTCGCAGGTCTCCTTGTGCTCACGGTTCAGCCTGTGAGGCAGGGCCTGGTCTGCGGGGCCCGGGGAGCCCCTCACCTGCCCAGCGTCCAGCGGCCCCCTCCCCCCCAACCCCCCCAGCAGCCAGGGTCCTCCCCTCCCCCGCCCTTCCGCTACCGACACTCCCTGGGCCTTGGGCCGGTCACCCCTCCCGCTGGCCCGAGGCTGTGCCCACCGGATCTGGCCCATGGCCTGCACGATGGTCCTCTTCAGAAGCTCCTGAATGTTCCTGATGAGCTCAGCCTCCTGGGGAGACAGACCCGGGCTGGTGAGGCCAGATGCCAGCCGGGCTGGAGATCTGCGGCCAGCACCTCGGTCCGGAGCCGGTGGGCCGCGCCCCGGGCTGGCCCCCCAGCCGTCCCCGCTGCGGTCGGGCCTTTGAATGTTCTTTCTGGGGTACCCGGACACTTGCGGGCGTGTGGGCTGTGCAGGGCCCCGCCATACCGGGCATCACAAAGTCCTGCCATCTCATTTGGCCACCGCCTGGCGCCGGCCCCACCCCAGGCCGCCTGAAGGTGTCCTGTCCCTGCCGGCGCCAGGGTCCACTTGGGCTTGGTCCGGCGCCTGGCTCTGGCAGGGCCTGAGCAGCAAGGGCTGGGCGCTGCAGGGTGTGGGGCCCCCGGGCGCAGGCCCGTCTTGGCAGTCCTCACCCCACGGCGAGGCCCGGCCTGGGAGGTGGGTGCCCCCGGGGACGGGCGCTGGGGTTCGAGGGGCACGGGGGGAGCAGCACCACCCGTTCCCGCTTGACACCCAGTGGTGTGTGCCAGGTCCTTCTGGGCGGTGAGGGCAGGCTCGGCTTGGTCGCCCCAGGGGCGACCAGGGCTGCCCGGTGGGTGCAGGCGCCCTGGGGCCCCCAGGAGGGCACCCTGTCGGGTCCCAGGGCTCCCAGAGCCCTGCCTGGCCGCCGTGCTGGGGTGCGTGGCGCGGTGTCCCGGCGGGGTGTCCGGCTGGGGACCAACTGGCCCCTCTGTTTCCCGGTGACCTCCGACCTCCAGCACAGCCCCCCGCCGGGAAGCCTGCCGGGCCCTGCCCCCAGTGGGCCCCGGGGGGCGGAGGACCGCCCGAGCCCGGAACGGGCACCTTCAGCAGCTCCAGCTCCGCGGGGTCCCGCACGAGGTCGGGGTGCTGGCGGCGCTCCCGACTCTGCAGGTTGTCGGTGGCGATGGCCAGGGGCGAGGCCACGGCGTCCAGGGCGCCCTGCAGCCGCCG